TGAAGTTCTCCAGCAAGCTAGCAATAATCACACTGAATCTGAAGACTTTTAAAGTAAAGTCTTTCACTTTTTCCCTAAGTGTGAGCTGGCAGCGTTTCCTTTCTCACTACGTACATTTGCTATTAATGTTTCCAGTTTACATGTTATCTTCAAAAGTGGGTTCATTCGTGTGTATATGAAGATATCCTACTTGACCCCCACCCCTGCACTAAACATATCAGTTGAGCGACATCAGCAGTACGTACTATCTTCAAATCAGTATTAACTGAAGAAGATTCTACTTCAGAATTTTCAATTTAGCTGCGAATTTTCAACTTAGAGAATTAGGGGAGGAAAGTTCACCCAAACAGAAAGGTAGGATATCGATTTAACATTTTGCACATTTGCACTATTGTGACATGTAAATTATTTCTCAGTCATAAATGCAATGACTGAGTTATGCGTTTCACCCACAAATATACAGTCAATTAATTCACTTTACAGTATATTCTGCGAAGGGCTTTGAGACGTCTCGAAGATGTGAAAAGCGCTATATCAAATGCAAGGTTATTATTATTATAAAACAAACTCAGTATTGCCCCATGATTGGCACAAGCATTTTATAATCTCTTCAATAAGAACATTTTGTTGGAACACGTCAAAATTCTAATAATTGAAATAATATTATTTAGAAAACAACAAAAACAACAACTTGCATTTACATAGTGCCCTCCACGCAAGGTAGCATCTCAGAGCACAGAAAGGAATTGATCATGCACACTGTAATAGTTTTTTTAATCAAATATGTTTAAATGTTCAAGAAATTAATGCCTTAGGCAAACTATTATGAACTTTTCTCAAATCTCCAGGGGACCAAAAGAAGAAGCTAGAGCAGCAAGAACAAGCAATTTAGGATGCAAGAATTGATCCAGCATAGTTTAAATAACCGTTTGCTTACTCTCATATGAACATATAGACTCACAATGCAGACTCACAAAATCGTACGAATGGTTTGAATGAAGAAGGTCCTACAGTCCATCTGATCTCATCCTTCCAGAATATCCACCTGACAAATCTCACATCACAGTTTCACCAAGCTGTTTTTAAAAATGAGTCAGTGTCGTAGCCTCAATCACTCCTCCTGGCAACCTGATCTGGGCATTAATTATTCTCTGGGTAAAGAAAAACATCTTGGTATCCATCTTGAAATTGTCCTTTGGAACTGTAAACCCATATCCTCTTCTTTTACTGTCCTGGTGCATCCTAAAGAATTGTTCTGGGTTAACTTTTTCAATCCCATTTAACATTTTATACACCAACACATGAGCACAGAGTTAATCCATGCAGCAGATCAAGCAAGGTTTACATTTTCAACAATGCAAATTACTGTGGAAATTCTTCAGTAAATCCTAAAATTTCATGATGATGAAAATATATTTATTGCACTTAAGGTGATAAATTTATCAACCAGCAGAGAATAACTTTTCTGGAGTGTTGAAGGTGGGTGGGGGGGAATATTTTGTGAACTTTATCTGAATAATTCTAGTCTGCAATATTTACACCTGCAGTTGCACAGTGCGCTTGAATGATAACTGTGTTTTAAGCAAATTGATCAGGACACATCAATTGCGAAAGTTAAACTGTGTGTATTACTGTGTGTCTATTTTGATTTGTCACTGAAGCAAAACTGTATTTCAGAGAAGATTCCAATTGTAAAGCAGCCACTGAAAATGGTGTGTTATGCTCCCAATTAATTCTCATTCTAATGATCCCTTCTAGTACATCTTTCTCATTCCAAAGAGCATGTCCACACCACGCTACTTATTTTCTTTTTTGGTATCCTTTGTGTCCCTGTATTTTCAACCTTGAAACACCTTTTGCCATCACACTGCTTCCAGCTGGTGCACAGTAGAAGGCACAGCTTGAAGACAACAAAATATTGTCAATCTCACTTGCTGAATACTTTATGCCCCAGAAATTTAGTGACAGTGTGTTGTCTTTTTATATCTGAGGCCTGAGTGCCAATCCAGCTCAGCGCGGTGGGATGAAAAATTCCCCTATCTCCTGTCCTCATGAGACCTCTGTGGAACAAGGCCACAGAGCCTCGATCCAATTTCCATTGTGCCTGGGCCCTCAATTCACAATGCCAGCTGTTTTGCATGTTGCAGCACCGGATTACCAATCTCAATCAGATAGGCTCTCAATCATAAACATGGCCGGTGTGGGAAATGAAGTCACTTATGTAGACACGATTAAGAGTTTAGCAGCAAATTTGTTGTAGCGTCCAGTCTGGTAAAGAGTTGTAACTTAGGGGATCTTGTAATTAAGTACTTGTTATTGCTGTTTTCAGAGGCATGTGTAAGAATCATTCTCATTTGTACTTGTCTTTTGTATTTGGGACTTTTAAAAGATGTTGACTTCAGACGGTACTGACTTCAGACGGTACTGTACTAAACAGACTACTATGGTTCCAATCTGAATCACTGCTTAGGATGAATATAGGGAAGTTGGTAAATTAGCTATGAGATAGTACTGTCCAGTGAATTCTCATTAATTGTTATAAAAATACAGTGCAGAAAATATCAAATTACTGTATAAATAAAAGCAAAGTTAAAGGAAAAATCTCCTTTAAGAATACCAAATTCAGGAATGCACCAATATTACAGAAGCCACAGAGCAAACTAATTGTTAAATGTTTAATATTTTCGCTTGCTTTAACTTGAATTTGCAGTATATTTTACTGCCCAGATTTTTAGCCAGTAAATGATAACAAATTCTGTCTATGTTATTGAATTCAGTATTCACATGCAGGATATTAGTTCTGTACAGAACAACACATTTTCAAAGTCCAGTTCATCATCAATTTTGTATTCTATAAATTTCAAATGCGACAAAACGAACAAATTCTGTGCTGGTCAGCGCCCACACTAGAATATGGCCATCTGCTGATCATCAGTTCACCACCAATGTCATTTCCTTTGCCGCTGCACACACACAGCACAAATGAAGTGACATCGGTGGTCACCTAATGGACCAGAAGTCTGCCATTTTAGTATGAGAATTGCGACCTCCTAACCCCCTACTAACCCGCATGCTCCCTCCACTCAGTTCAATGAATGCACATCCAAACTGTAACTGTGTAACTGTGTTTTAACCAAGTTATAATAATAGTCCTTGCATTTGGCCTTATCACGCCATCAAAATGTCTCAAACTCTTAACAGGATGTTACTGTGAAGTGGAGTGACTGAATATTTGTAGGTAAACACGGCAGTCACTTTGCACACAGCAACATCTCACAATAGCCATGCTGTGAATAATCCATTTTTATTTGGGGAATTGTTTGCCAAATGCCATGGATCTTTAACTTCCACTTGAACAGGCCTTGGTTCAATGTCTCATGTAAAGGATGGCACCTCCAACAATGCACTACAACCTCAGCGGTGCATTGGAGTATCAGCCTAGAGTTCAAAGCCCTGAAATGGACTTGAATCCACCACCTTCTGACTCCGAGGCAAGAGTGTTACCAACTGAGCCAAGCTGCCATTTGGTGCTATAAAGAAGTATGTTATAATGGGGGCTTTTCTGTAATAATTACCAAAGAAAATTATCATTTGTTGAAAATTGTCAAAATTGTGGATGAGGCTAGTCTATTATAGACACGGTAGGAGTCCTTAACCTTTCCTAACATTGGCAGAGTGGTTGGCCTGAGACATTACTGAAGTTTCCTTCTAAATTAAACTAAGTTAAGCTAGTATTCCAGCAATCAGCACTCAAATGTAGTGCTCCGTAATTAGCAACTCCAATCCTGGTCACCAGTGCCTTTGGGCCCAACTATTTGCTACGAATCAATGGTTATCAATTGGCCTCGACCACATCACACCTTGCAATTTCACCCTTGTCCTCCCGACGTGAAAAGCGCTATATCAAATGCAAGGATTATTATTATTATTATTATTGGAGCATTTTGAAATCTCCTGAAGTGGTAATTTTTTTTTCACTTGGTAACCCAAAGGCAGCATTCGCGCACTAAAACTTGTGCTTCAAAAAATCCTTTTTCACATCAAAAAGAGTATTACTGAAATGTTTAGTTGTTCTTAATAAAGAACTGAGGTGGACAGTTTCAAACTTTCTCCAAAGAAAGTTTGTAAAAAAAATTGCAGCAAATTAGCTAAGTTTCTAAAATTCACTCAGATTTAACCTAAACTTATCTGATTTGCATGCAAATATGTCGACTGAAAATCACAGATGCTTCTGAGAAATGGATCAATGAAAAACTTCTTAGCTTTACGTTTCTGTATCTCTCCCCTCCCAACTACACACACACCTTTAAACACTGTAAAATGAAAATTCCCTGTTTAAAAAATGCATTCAATCTCAATATGATTGAACTGTCAACCTTCAGGTTACCTTGGATTTCTTGCCTGTTGAACACTATTGAAACCTCCAAAAGGTCAATAAAACCATCAAAAGGAGGGTACATTTCTTCAACCAATCCTCCTGCTCCATTTCAAGATCCATCGTTAAATGCAGCAATTACTAAATAGCACATTTGTGGAACACTGATCACTAACTCAAACAGAAATGAAAGTCCACTATCAAGCAACAATGATTAAAGTTGTACATGAGCATCAAGTTAATGCAGATCTCTTTGTTAATCCTCTCTGTTTGACCAAAGTCAGCAAAAAACATCTGTAACTGCATTAGGCAACAGCCTCAGAAATAATGCCACTCCTTCCCTGCATTCAATATAAAACAAAGCCTGTTATTTCTTCGCAGATTTAAACATTATTATAGGCGAATTTTATCCCCCAGTTCTCGAATAACTTCTCGAACAACAAAATTATTTGCAAGCATGGCCTCCTTAAAAAGGCAATCTTTGGGAAAATTTCATTCCTAATTAAATATGTAATTACTGAAGCTGATTATGTGTTTTAATGGCAATGTATTTTTAATTTGAATAAACCTTTTTCTCATCACCTTTAATCTTTTTCACATCAGCTGGTATTTAATGAACTGTTACCTGTAATCACACCAGGGGCACTTATAAGGCTTTTCTCCAGTGTGCACACGTTTATGACGGGTCAAATGTGACTGTGTTGTGGAGGCAAAGTTGCACTGGTCACATTTAAATGGCTTTTCACCTGGAAAACAAATAAGTCTCAGTTTTGCAAGACAAAATCATTCTCTTAATTTCAGAGTACAATATTAGCATTTAAAAACCCCACACTAAAAACCATTATCTTTCAGGAGCTTTTATTCACGAAGCCCAAAGACCAATCACACATACTTAAAAGGGGATGTACGTATTCACAATTTTCTGAGACTTCTATTTTAAAAACCGTACTTCAAATTTTTTCACAACTTTCGTGATAAGACATTACCAATATTCAATCTAAAATAACACTACAATAGTCACGATTGGATTAACCTTTTATTTTAGGGGATGCAGTTGCCCTGGTGTTTAATATCTCAAAATTAACAAATTCTAGAATGCTCCATTTTTATCACAATGCAGCGTAGCTTCAATATAGGAAAACAACTAGCTGGCACTGACACAGAAGACGGTAATTGAATTGTGAAGTTCTGAGGACATTATAAAGCTCAAGATTGAAGTCTGAGTGGTTTAGTAAGTTGTCAGAACACAGACACTCAACTTCAGAATACAGGGAAATATTGCAAATAATACAGATGTAAGAAAGAATTTGCTTTTTTATTGTGCTTATAACGTCGAAACGTCAAAGTGTTTCAAGGTAATCACCAGCACATTTACTGACTTTTTGTTGGCAAATGATATACACCCTGTAAAACAATCTTCCTCATGTATTTTAGCATGTTTCTGCAGACCACCATCTCATAAAAAGAGGTCACAAAACTACATTTATTTGTGATCACTGTAGTTGCACAAAGACCTAATGTCCTATCCCCATACGTTTATCAAGGATTCCCTTCCCATTTACCATATTTATTTAAAATCTATATTATACATAACAATCAAGGAGCAACCTAATTTGTTTTCCATATTTAATGGCTATTATAGCAATTATCCAGTTACTTTCATTCTTAAACTCGCAAGGATGGTTTGTCTCCTTAAATTGCTGCAATATCAATAACTTCACACCAAAGCAATTTTATTCCAACTGCACAGTGCCCTTTTCTTTCAGGGCAGGTCAATGTCAGTGCATTGGAATTGCAATTTTTCTTTTGTCCGGTGGTTGCACGTTCACTGTCATGGAGCACAATTACTCTGAGTGCAGTTGCTCTAAAGAGAACAACTTACTGACTGACCTGTGTGCTGTCGTCTATGTTTGGTAAGAGCATGACGTGTTCCACCAGCAAATCCACAAAGGTCACAAAGGAACGACTTCTCTCCTGTTGCAACAATAAACAGATAAGGGACTGTGGAGGTCACAGATCATTAAAACATATCTATCAAGACTTTCAGGGTTACTAATTCCTCCAATCAAATGTTTCCATGTAAATATGTCAAATGGGAATGAAATTACCACTGCAGTTTATTGACTGTGATAAAATCTGAAAAGCACCACTGAACATAATTACATACTTGTCAGACCCATAAAAATTAGCTTTAATATCAATGGAATGGTTTTGTACAACTTCATTTCTGTTAGATGTCTTCCAGATGGGGCTGCTTTACGCACTTGAACAGTTTTTATGCATATCCTGCTTTTTTCCCTCTCAATTCCCACAGATCCAGTCACTCAGTGTTGACTGGTCCATCTACAACAACAGCAGGCTGAGGAAATAGAAGGTTTTTTAAACAGCCATTACTGGATGCACAGACTGTTCATGCACAGTGAAAAAAGTCTTTAGCTTTTACCTGCAGCCACTTCCCAACTACACCCTTGAGAATGCTGCATCTACGACTGATACATTAACAAGAAAGTGCAACAATGCTGCAGATTTGGAACTTCATCCTCATACTAATATTAGCCATTGATCTATAATCAACTTTTCCAGTGTTAGTTCCAGTGAACAAATCTGTTCAAAACTCAAGCACTTTCACAAAAAAATCACGTCTTGAAGTGTTATAAACTTTCTCCAGACTGCTCCCCCCACCCCACCCACGCCCTCCCAAATCGAGGTGTACAATATATTTCTCCAAACTCTTGCTTATTTAACTGTATTTTGGATTCATAAATTTGTGTTCGCATACAAATTTCCGTGCTGCGGGCTGTTATCAAAATTGTAATATGCTGAAAATGGTTAATTTGCAGAAGAAGGATTACCCAGTTTCTCTAACTTGCTGTGTGTGAAGCTCCAGAAAATAAGAGCACACTTTTTGGAAAAAAAAATTCACAAATGTTATTCTAATATTGCAAAAGGGCAAAACCTAGAAATTACAAGCCCGTTATCCAAACATCCAAAGTCGGGAGGATGCTTAAAAGATATATTCAAATGATCAATAAAAAGTAATCAAAAAATAATCCTTGCATTTGATACTGAATCTTTCACAGAGGGAAGATGTCTCAAAGTGTTTCACAGGATTTGTACTGTAAAGTATATGATTATGTATTTTGAGGAAGAACATAGCAGTCAAGCTGTGCAAAGCATTATCGCATTTCACAAATGGCCAGTAAGTGAATAACCAATTTTATCTGGGGGATTGTTGGATCAAGACACCTTTTTCCAAATAGTGTCCACCTGGTTTAAGATCTTATCTGAAGGACAGCACTCTAACAATTCAGCACTCCCCTAGTACTGGATTGGAGTGTAGCAAACTAGATTATGATTTCAAAATCCCGACGTGGGGCTTGAACCCACAACATTCTGACTCGGAGGCAAAGTTCAATATTACAAGGGCTTTAAAAAAAAGGTAAGATACACACTACTTGGGATTCTACAACTAAACCAAGGGGTAAGGTCTATCCAGTTGACATGTGCTAAATTTCAAAAGGCATTTGATAAAGTTTCTAAACCGAGGCTTGCAAAGATGTTACATAGAAGATTCTGCAGGTGGCTTGAAATTCAGTTTTATTATAGGAGACAGGGTGATAAATATCAAAGACTCTGCCTGCCAGTGGGTTTCCACCAGGTTCTGATCTGAGTGGGTGGAGGAGATTGAACAAATATGTTTATCTCAGATGGAGGGGAGTTTCAACCAGTGTGTCTGATCTCAGGGGGCTGTGAAGATTGAACTAGTGTGCCTGATCTTGGGGAGGTGGGTGACTGAACCAGTGTGTTTGATCTCGGGGAGGGAGGTGACTGAACCAATGTGTCTGATCTTGGTGCGTGGGTGTGTGGGGAGAGTGATTGAACCAGTGTGTCTGATCTCAAGGGGTTGGAGAGATTGAATCAACAGGTCTAATCTCAGCAGCAACACATGTTGATGGTCCACCACCCTAGAACCTGCAACAATAAAACCCTTTCAAATCTTATTCTACTCAACAAAGAAAGCCCTGCAGGGTTAGCTCAACACATAAGGTTTAAAACCCTTATTTTAATAGAGGGAGGGGTAGATGGAGGAAGAGGAGAAATAAATACCAGTGTACAAGCAATGCATTTTGGTAGAGAACCAATTTGGAGAATGTGTCTATTATGTTAATGTAATGCAAAGTACAAGCAAAATACATTTTAAAAATGTCTCCTTTGAATGTAAATGTATGATGACACGGAAACAAATCCTTTATTTTCTATTAGGAAACAGACACTGTTCCCTATCTCTCATTATGGTGCAGACTACAAAATCTAACAACAAAAATCTATAATATTGATTTAACCAAGTCTCCACAATTATTCTTTAGAAGGAAACACTGACGATAAATTACATCTGCACTGGCTTTTCATCTGGTGTTCGATATAAGTGATCTCTCAGGGCAGTCTAGAGACCTTAAATCGTCAACACCCCTGTCAGTGAAGCTAAGGAGGTTTTGGCCTCCCAGACACACCACCTAAAGATGCTTGCAAACAGAATTTGTTTGCGGAAAATAATCACACAAATATATGCAATAATCAATAGTTCTTACCTAAATTCAAACTCTCTCCTCACGGAAAAAGAGGTAAAGTGGGTTTCTGGGTTTCTTTGTGACTGCTCCAAGGAAACCCATTTACCTCTTTTAATACATACTGTTAATGGGTACTTTAAGGAAATATTTAAAACAGGATAATTCTTGGTCATTCACTTCATGGCTGTTTATGGAACATTTCTGCACACAAATTGGTTGCTGCATTCGCCTACAAAATACATGGTTGCTATACTTATAGTCTGTGAAGCACTTTGGAGAAGGCCCTACATCATATGTAACAATTTATTATTATATAATTCTCCATGCGGGACTGGAAATATGGAAGTGTGCATGAGAAACAGTGGAGTTTTTCAATTATATTTGTTTTATAATATATTTTGCTTTCTCAACTAATGTTAGAGGGAGGAAGGCATTAACAATGGACAGCACGTTTTTGGAGCTCTGACATTCAAAATTCTTAAAGTTAGTTTTAATTAGGCAGGGTGCTTCCCATAGTTTCTTTTAAGAACTGTGGAAAAATGGCTTCCAAATAAAGAGTGACCTTATTATTTTTCTAAAATTATGTACAATCTTAAATAGTAAGACAATAATCTTAAGGCTAAGATAATTGCAAATTTCGGAATGAAAAATCATTGAGACAGATTCATTTTTTTTCATTTAAACGGAATCACTGAACGAGAATGTGTTGCCTTCAAGCAAAAGGATTGTGCGTCCATCACATTTTCGATAAGAGCAGGGAGAGTTCTTACTTCAAGCATCCAACAAATCAGATCATTCTTTCCCTGCAAGTCTACTCTCAGGATAGGCAAAGGCAGAGTCGTCATCTAATTGCAATGTAAAATGAAAATACCACACAAGATATTAAATTGGACGTGGTTCATAATAAAACTAACTGGGGCAGAAATTAGAGTAAGCAAACAATTTTAAAAAAAAAACCTTTTCCACCTCCTATGTTGTTCATACAATTTCTTTCCAATATTGCCTTCCACAAGGCATGTATCCATCTTCTACCACGATGAGACATTCTCAGGCCCCTTCATCGCTTCCCACTAAGTGTCTAATAAGCAGTGCATGCGACAGGTTGCTGGGTAGGTTAATTAAGGACAGGACACCGGACTAATTCAAGAAGCACCTTGAAGTTGAAATGAAAAGATAGCAGGGCTAATATTTTGGACCTCGGGGATCAAGTGGCTTATGAGGCTCATTCATTCATTCATTCATTCATTCATTCATTCATTCATACATACATTCATACATACATACATACACACACACACACACACACACATACATAGCTCTTGTGTGGACTCGTGTTTGCTTCTTTTCAAGTTTATTTCTCCCTCAGGGAGAAGGTCATCGTTTCCCTAGGACGATGACTGGGGCTGAGATTGGGAACTCAGTATGCAGAGAAGCTCTTTCAGGCATGAAGCAAAGTCCTATCTCCCTGTACAGCAGTGCATCACTAAATGTCAATAATGTAATAACCTGATACACTACGTATTATTCTATTTCGAAAAGAAATGCATTGTTGCAGTTAGATGCTGTGACCTGATGGCCACATGTCAAGTAATAATGTCAAGGCATTGTTTCTCGACATGATGGTCCATCGTTTAACCTTGATTTAACCTTGTTTCTTCAGAGGATAAAAGGTGGTAATGTAGTTGAGAGCACTACGGGATGCAGCCACCTACACTGATCTCATCAAAAGCTTCTGGGAGGAGTTCATTTGAAAATAGGAGAATGCTTAGATAGGAGACCTGCTGTGGTTACAGAAGGAACTCTCATCTTTCAAACGACATCTTATCCCCCTTTAGATGTTGTTTAAAATATGGGGGTGTCATAAAAATAGCAGGTAATTATTCTGTCCACTCCATGAGACTTAAACAATAACCCATTTTGTAAATGTACTGTGTTATAGACCAGTTAACTGAGGACCACAGGTTGAGTCCTTCAATCAACTGGATTATTCTTGATTCTTTCTTACAACAAATGGGTAAGTAGGTAATTGCTATTCAATTATTCGTTCACAGTACTAAGTAAACCGTTGCTTTTGTTAAAATATCTACCCATATTTGTGCATCCATGAGATGAATGAGTATGAGCTCAGACTAGGAGCAGTGCTGTGCAACACACTGTTTGTCTTCCAAAGACATCCTCAGTCCAGGTTGAAAGCTCACTCAGGAACCAGCCAGAACACAGGAATGTTCATGGGAATGATTGTGATTTAACAATTGCTGCTTGAGAGAGAACTATTTAACAGACTTGCCTGTACAAATACTCTGGGGTGAGGGAGGTTTAGAATCACAAAAAGCCCTAAAACATCAAGTGCTCTGAGACGCTAACCCCGTGAAGGGCGCTATATAAATGAAAGTTGTTGTTGTAAGTCTCTTTACAGCTGATAAAGAGGCAACATTCAGGTGAAGGAAAAGCATTGGAATAGTGTAGTACGAGTTGAACCACTTCAACATCAAAATGCCCTTTCACACAAGTTAGAATCTAATATAGCTGCAATTAACCAAATTGTCAAATGTAATAATAAAAATAATTAAGGTATCAATGACAGGGGCATTAACACCAAGCCTTGACTCTTTCCAACCTGGACCTAATACTTTCTGGAATTAGTTAAGCAGGATGCATCCCTCCAGGGAGGGAGTGCACACTCCATTCCAACAATCTGTCTCTGGAATTTCCATGTGTGGGTGGGACGCATCGAAATCTCTGCTTGGTTCGGATACTCAAATATGGTGATGGGCTTTCGCATGTGTCAGACACCCGGCTGACCAAAAAAAACCGAATACTTTGCAATCTTATAAATGAAACTTTAACCACGCAGAGTGGTATTTATCCAACTAGGGCTTTCCTACCCAATAGGACTTTGGCTTATAGAAATGAGGACATATCCACACTTCCAAGGCTCACTGATGTGATGCGCCACACACTTGCATTACTCCACATCTGCTTCACTTTGCCAGATGTGTCTTCTCAAAGCCGAAACAGTCACAGGGACCCTACTTACACCCTCACTCATCAAGGAGGATATTTTTAGATGATAATCTTTTGTTAATCAACTTGGAAGGCAGAGTGACTGAGCTATCTGGGTTTCTTTTNAAAGTATTAGATTGCAGTGGGACACCAGGTGGAATGTGACAGCTGAGATAATAATAATAATTCTTGCATTTTGTATTTATATAGCATCTTTCACAACAGAAGGGCTTCTCAAAGAACTTCACTAGATTTACTGTAAGGTGTGGCGACTGCATTTTGCAGTCGAAAGAGACAGCAAATTTGCATACAGCGATATTCCACAAATAGCCATGAAGTGAAATGGTAAAGGAGGAAGGAACCCAATCTGTATCACACAAAATCAACCCTTTCAATGCAACTTACAGCCACATAAATTTGGCATTAGAGATTGGATGGACTACATAAAACATCAGAAACTGGCCGATAGGCAGATCCATAAAGCCATTGGTGGTGATCATTGTGCCCTTGGCTGTTCATAAACAGATATGTTACCTTGATAACATCATCTTTTACCATTTTCCTTGAATTTTACCATTTTATTTTATAATAATTGTTAGAAATTGAGGGATAAAACTTCCGTTACAGGTACAAAAAAATACATCAAAAGCTTGAAAAGCTATTCTAAGATGCATTTTATAGGTTCTACAGTTGCATTTTTACTTTGTGTTAAAGTGACAACAAACCTGTATGAGTCCTGAAGTGATCCCTCATGGCAGATGCTGTGAGGAAAGAATAGTGACATGTTGGCCAGGTGCACTTAAAGGGCTTCTGGCCCATGTGCAGCTTCTTGTGGTTGGTCAAAGCCCATTTCTCTGTGAAAGTTCGGTCGCAAATCTCGCACACAAATTTCCTATTGCAAAGAAAACAAGAGGGAAGAAAAAAGGGAAAATAAGAAAGAGGGGAAAAATGCATTTGCATAATACCACCAGAGCATTTTAGAAAATGAAGCGTGGAAACTGTATGGAGTTTTGCAGACAGAATTGTAGCCTGGGTCTGTCACGTCTGTATAACCAGGCATTGATTTTTCTGTCGAGATCCAGCACTTTAGCCATTTATTCTCTGCTTTGCAGTTGGACCCAAAGGGTTTGAAAAATTCTGTTACAGTCCAGTTGCCCCTGAAGGCAAATGTGAGAATAGATTTCACCTGTATAGTCCCCCACTTATCCAGGGCACACGCTGTCAGAGCAAAGGCTAAATGGAAAGCCATTCATACAAGACTACTCAACCAATCACGCCGGTATGAATTCAGCTACTGCTGTGGCACACGCACACATGCTTCCTACACATAGCCTGGAATTACAGGCACTGCTGCCGAGTATCCCATTTCCAAGCTTTTGTACAAGGACGAGACAAACTTCAATGGGTTTGACTCCATGTGGTAACCGGCATTGATTAAACTGATACTGTTGCCAGAAAGGCTGCCTGCCCCTTGTCCTCAAGAGATTTACTGGGCTGAAGTAATACAAGAGTACCAGCCATGGTTTGCAACGGAATGTGCAGCATAAATATTATTGTAAATCTTGCTCCCTGGCAGGATACCATTGCGTTATGTTTTTGAATAGTATTTCTGAGTTATTATTTCCAGGATAATTATCCACATGTTTATATTTCTATACAATACTATATTAAATATTTGTATAAAATAAATAAATCTAGATTTGATGTAACGTAACAACATAGCATTTAGCATCATCGCATATGACCAGCAACGTCCATCCAGCTACCAAACTGCTGAGGTGTGGTGTGTCTAAGCCTGCATGCACTTATCCAACCCAGAAACAAGTATTCTCCAATCTCTGAAAGAACTACAACACCAACATCCCTAGAAACACACTTCAAAGTTTACAAATGTTGACGTTCATCTGCTGTAACATTAAACCACGATTGTTATGGATGACTTAAAAGAATCTGAAAGACACCAGCTCCAGAATTTGGACTGCTTATGTCTGAAAAAAAGGTTTACGAATACCAATTGAAAATTTGAATGAGCAATACCAGAATTCACTGGAAGACCACTATAATATACTGTAGTATTTGGGAGGTGGTGGGGGGGATGGAGGGCATAGAAGAAAAAAGAATGTAATATTTTATTGAAACCTTGAAGCATTTGTTGGGTTGGATTTAGAGTCACGATTAACGTTTTGGGATGTTTGGGCCTTTTGGCTCTCGCTGTAAGATAAAAGTCAAAAAGAAATAATTGACAACTATAAATGTATGAAATAGTTAACATCCATCTAATAAACAAGGAGTATTTGCAAAATGCAGTGTCCCTCTGGTTGTCTGATGTTGAGGGACACTGTGGACGAGCCCTCAATTTAGACTTGACTGTAGTGATTCTGCAGCATGATGTAGTTTCTGGTTGCAATGTCACCAACAAATTTTCCTCAGCCATGTCATCTCTTACCTTGCTAAGCGCAAATATAATCCAGGCAAAATAAACAAAAAATACATTAATAGGGTACTTGAACCACTTCTCTGTGTATGCAGGTTTAAGTGGCGAAAGTGAAGAAAAAAAACACTCCAATATTCAGTGTACCACTTTTCTTAATGTCCCATAACGCTTCTGTGTCAACAGTTTCTCAAGTGATTGTGCAGAACACAAAGTATTTAGGGGACCTGGATTGTGAATTGGAGTGCCGTTTGCATTGTATCATAAAACCAGCCAAAGAAACAGAATTAAAGCGCAGAAAACAACTGAAGATTCTATGTGTTTTCCTTCTAAAGAACTTATTTGCACATTTCTACCACACATTATCAAATAATAATGACATTATAAACATAACGTCAAGCTCAGTATTAGTACGCCAGCACTTCCATTTTATGTTTTGTCTGTGTCAATCATAAAATATACTGGCAGATGAAGAGCAGCATACCTCAGCATTCTGCCTGCATTTCATTCTGCAAAAGTGATGTTATCACTCTAACAGAGGAAAATAAGGAGATTATTAGAGTGACTGGTAGGAAACTAAACATCTGGACATTCTGGGGACAGATTTACACGCTGTCTGTCAGATAAAGCGCTGTTGCCTGCTGCTTACAAAACAAGGTTATGCCTGGCAGCATTTCCCAGCTTTGCTATCAGACTGCTTGAATAGCCCATTTCTCCACCCTTTCTGAAGAATGACATCCTGTCTTGGTTAAGAGAGCAATTTCTATCAACTGTAGTGCCTCAGACTGCTTCTGATTAAAATCTGATTTTTTTTTGGGGGGGGGGGGGGGGTGGCAGGAGAGAGAGGACGCACCTATTTGAGGAGCTGGTTTAAGGTTGCCAGTGTTTGACTTCTAAGTAACACACAGTAACTAATGGAAAATGAGCGACACTCAGGTAACAGTCGCAAGCTGAATTTCTAACTGTTTGGTTGGGTAAAATCCATAAGTCACACTTGTTTCTCATCCTGCCAGTGACCTTCTCTAATGGTTAATGAATGTCATCATAAAGCATCAATCAGCTCTGCTGGTTCTGGGAGTGCTGCACCTTATGAACATGGCTGCAGATCCATTGTAAGATTCAAATCGTACCAACACAGAAAAACACTAAATGTTTAAAAGCAATACACTTGTATTATGGGTGGTGTCCAGAAAAAAGGGGGAAAAAAACATGTTCCTCTAAAGGGTTAAATGGGTTTTGGAAAAATGTGGCACCCAGTGACATGATTTTATCTTCATGTTAAAAGAAGCAATCCTGTACTGATACAGCACGCACACATACAAACACTAACTCTGGGTAATCTGGGTGCACAAGACAAGACTGAGATTGCACACATGCTGTAAATCAAGACCCTCTGAATTAAATGCAATGCCACTGATATGGCACACATACTGTAAATCAGCAGATAAAAGATTAAGCATTACTATACTGATACAATGGACAAACTACTGCCTTACAGGCAAGACATCATGGATTGAAAACAGGGTTAGAACCAGGGGAGATCAGTAGTTACAACACTCGAGCTTTCGACTCCCAATTAGGGGAGTCTGAATAGCAGTCATGTCTTGACACTTGCACTTAAGTTTCCCCGAATACTTCCATTGTCATAGTAAAGCTGCAGAGCTCCAGTCACTATTCTGGTGGCCATCAAGAACACAAAACAACTTGGAGGGAATGATGCGACATCACAGAGAGCAATACCAATTCAGGGAGGGATAGAAAGGTTAAGCAAAGGAGATATAACATGAGCGCAAAAAACGGGTTAACAGCACTTGCTGTGGGGGGTTTTCTGAGACCACAACAATATCACAGGAAAAGGGATATTTGTCTGGCATTCGGAAAGTTAGTTTCTATTTGATCCCTTCTCATTATTATAGTTGCATTGGTAAATGTATCTTATTTTAATAGATCACAGATTCTTTTGTATATTTTGCTCCTTTGCTCGTTCAATCCTTTGTATCTTTTGCCAACCTCATGGAAAGCAGATGCATAATCTTTCCTCCCCCAAACCCCAAAAAGGAGTCTCTTCACGCTGCCCCTTTTTGACAATCACTGTACACATTGCTCCATTATTGGCTGGGTTACTTGGAATGGAATAAATCTCACATTGGTTTTGATTCTCCTTTGACACATGACCCTTGTGCCGATGTCAAGCAAAGGTCTCATTCATGAAAACAGCAGATGGTCTTATGTTGGAGGCACCTATCACATCAGTTCACAGATTACTGCCTTTTCTGTGGGATTACAATGGAACTTTCAATTCATTTGTAAAAATAATGTGACGTGGTGATTATGTCAGAATTTGTCCTCCACTTCTATAAGGTTTTGTCCTATACTTTCATCTGGCTGTCGCATTTCGCCCACAGATATACAGTCAATTCACTTTACAGTATATTCTGTGAAGCGCTTTGAGATGTCTAGAGGACGTGAAAAGCGCTATATCAAATGCGAGGATTATCATTATCATTATTATTATTATTATTATTATAATCCAGTCATTCCAGTCTTCCAGGATAGCTGCTTGTAGGAATTTGATAGTGCAAATGGCAGGCAGAATTGCCTGAAGTAACAGTCACTACACTTGTCAGTAATTACTAGTAAAGTGCTTTGAGATGTTTCCACATAATAAGTCACTATAAAAATGCAAGTTCTTTATTTCATTATTGTTAGTGACTTAAATGATCATCATCAACATTGGCTCATTTCTCTCGACTGTTTTAAACAGATAATAATCCTTTGCTCTCTTGAATGACCGTGAAAACTTGCTGATCAGCCTACATGTATCCCTGTTTGACCTAGTAATTCGGTGAATGTACCAGCGTTTTGAGTAATCCTCTTGAAAATGCAGTTTGAAAATGAAAACTACAAAGGAATATTTTTGAGGTTGGATTTAATCTAGGGTTAAACATGAATTTACAAAGTCTAACAGTGGGTAGGTGCACAATCTTTCCTGTATTGGGACAGGATAGGCCAGGGCGGCAGAAACAATAGGAGTCAAGTACACACATAATTAATTTGAAGTGATTCTGCTCAGCTACTCAGGATGTAAATATACATTTATCCTGGTTTAACAGCATAGGACAGATTTTCCAATTAAATCTTTGTGAACCTTTTCCAATTGATTTACAGTTAATATGCATTTATCTGCAAGGACATACAGCTTACAAATATAAAGGCAGATTGTTCTTTTAAAATACATACAACTGAAGGCAGGGATAACTGTTCTGCATTTAAGTAATTAAAAGCGCCTAAAGAACAAAAGACAGCTTCCCTTCCAGCATAAAATAATTTATCCACTAGCGGTAATTTTACGATATTTCTCAATTAGGAAATCCGATTGCTTTCTGGTATTCCGAAGTACATCACACTGATTTAAAGGAACTCTGCTCTGATTTGGAATGGCATTTCTGTGAGGCGATGAG